GTGTATCAAGATTGGAGGAAGACACATTAATGATCTGTGATATGCAGATGACACAACTGTGCTTGCTTAAAGTGAAGAGGACTTGAAGCCCTTATTGATGAAGATCCAAGTCTACAGCCTTCAGTATGGCTTACACCTCAACATAAAGAAAACAAAAATCCTCACAACTGTACCAATAAGCAATATTATGAGAAATGGAGAATAGATTGAAGTTGTCAGGGGTTTCCTTTCACCTGCATCCACAATTAGTGCCCATGGAAGCAGCATCAAGAACTCTGACAAGTTATTGCACTGGGCAAATCTGTGGCAAAAGACATTTTTAAAGTGTTAAAGAGCAAAAATGTCACTTTGAAGACTAGAGTACATCTAACCCAAGCCAAAGTATTTTCATTGAATGTGAAAGCTGGACAATGAATTAAGAAGACTGAAGAAGAATTGATGCGTTTGACTTGTGCTATTGGTTAAGAACACTGAGAATAATATGGACTGGCAGAAGAACAAACCAATCTGTACTAGAAGAAATGCAGCAAGAATGCTCCTTAGAAGCAAGAATGGCCAGACCTTGTTTCACCTACTGTGGTCATGTTGTTAGCAGGGCCCAGTCCCTGGAGAAAGATACCATGCTCAGAAGAGTAGAGTGACAGAGGAAAAGAGGAAGACTCTCAATGAGATGGACTGACACAGTGACTGCAATGACAGGCTCAAGCAAGCATAGCAAAGATTGTGGGGATGGCTCAGGGCCGGGCAGTGTTTTGTTTTGTTTTGCTGTATATAGGGTCACTGTAGGCAGTGTTTTATTCTGTTCTACGTAGGGTCACTATGCGTAGACATTACCTAACAAGAACACAATACAGATTACAGGGGGAGCAAGCCACAATGATTGTGTTTGTTTTTGTAGTCATACCCTACAAGCAGGAGCTCTCTGTTCAATCCAGTTGTGCTGAGATAACACCAAACAACCTGTGCTTGGGAAACTGTCTCACTGAGCAATAGAGGTGCTGTAGTGTCTAAGGCATTTGACTGCTAACCAGAAGGCTGGCGGTTCAAACCCACTAGCCACTCAGAAGGAAGATTGGGAAATCTACTTCCGTAGAGATACTGCCTTGGAAACACAAGGAGGGGTCACTATGAGTCGAATGGACTCCATGGCAGTGAGTTTGGTTTTTTAGAAGGAATAGAGGAACCCAAGAGGTAGACACAATACTAACTGCAGGGGACTCTTTAGATAAAACAAAGCATTTTTCCTGCGGGAAATGATGAGGTATCATGATTTGGAGGACTATCATTGTTAATGTTCATAATGAGAGAAATCTGTCACCTTCAGTCCATTAGCCCAAATAAAGGAGCTCTGGTGGTGTAGTGCCTAAGGCATTTGACTCCTAACCAGAATTCTGGCTGTTCAAACCCACCAGCCACTCCCTGGAAGGAAGACTAAGCAATCTATTTCTGTAGAGATACTGCCTCAGAAACCCAAACAGGGGTTGCTATGAGTCAGAACCGACTCTAGGGCAGTGAGTTTTTCTTTCTTTTTTTTTAATGGAAGCATGAGGAGCTTTGGTGGTGTAGTGGTTAAAACATCTGGCTGATAACCAAAAGGTCAGTGGTCTGAACCCACCAGCCACTCCATGGGAGACTGATGAGGCAGTCTGCTTCTGTAAAGATTCACAGCCTTGGAAACCCTATGAGACAGTTCCATTTGTCCTGAAAAGGGGTTTCTACAAGCCACTAATGACTGGAGGCCTGTGCGTTTTTGGGTTTCTGTGGAAGAGTGAGGATGTGCTTATCAGGAATGTGTCTGCCATCCTAAAGTACATTCTTTCCTAGGATACTTTTTCCTCTTCTTTCATCACTGCAAGATACAATTTGCATGCATGGTATTAATTTTTAAAATTGCAAGTCATCGCTCTTTAGAATATTTCATTTCCTTCAGTGATGCCTGGTACTTTTAGATTTATGCATTCAATTACCATGAATGATCAAAGAATTTTTAAGAGTTCAAAGGTGATTTTTCCTCAAATCCCTTTGGATTTTGTAACAAGAATTCTTTAAAAAGGATTGTTGTTAATCAGATGTTCTCTAATGCAGAAACCTTAATTTCAAATAAAGATCAAATTTGAATCTGGATTGTTGTTGTTGTTGTTGTTGTGTGCCATCAAGTCAAACACAACTCATAGCGACCCCTCCTTGGGTTTCCGAGGCAGTATCACTACGGAAGTAGGATTACCCAACCTTCCTTCCAAGGAGTGGCTGGTGGGTTTGAACCGCCAGCCCTCTGGTTAGCATGCAAGTGTCTTAGCCACTATGCTACCAGAGCTCCCAGAATCTGGATTAGTAGCATGTAATAACTTTCATTAGAGATAAATATTCTGAAAATTAAAGATTACATCTGTGCTAGGTGCTCTGGAATTAATACTTACATACTGGCACACACTTAGATAGATAATAAACATGATCTTTCTTCAATAATTCCATGAGCAATGTTCCATGAGTATGTTTCTAAATACTTCAGAAACATATAAATTAATTAGAGTATTCCAAATTGGTTCTTCATTAATGCAGTCAATGGATACATCGTTACAATTCCATGGGCTATTAAAGAAGACTTTCCCCTACCTTGTGCACCATAGGAATGAGGTTGGTGGATGTGGTTGTTGTCAACCGTGTTGTTGTTGTTGTGTGCCAGTGAGTCAATTCTGATTCATAGCTACCTTATCAGACCAGGTAGAACTGCCACATAGGGTTTCCTATAATCTTTATGGAAGCAGATTGCCACATCTTTGTCCTGCAGAGTGTTTGGTGGGTTCAGATCCTTTCAGTTAGCACCTGAGCAATTAATCACTGCAGCACCCGGGTTCCTGATTGTCAACCATGTATATCCAGAGCCATAATGATTAGTCAGTCACCTGAAGGCCACAACGGAGTCCCGAAGTTATCACAAACTTCTTTCTCCATTTCACTTTTCCACAAAAAAGTCAATCAGTCACTAATCTCTGCCATTCTCACCATCAAAATATGTTTATAATCTCTCTCCATCCCTACCATGTGTGTCATCTTTATCTGGCATCCTGAAATACCTTTTAATTAGTCATCCATCCTGCAATATTGCCTTTCTTAGATTATCTTCCACAGAGCTACCAGAAGAATGCTTCTAAAACACTAGTCTGACCACAGATGTTCCACTCAAACCCATCAGTGGCTTTATGTCACCTGGAATAAAGTCTGTTTCTTAACAGCACACATGACCTTCTAGGACTGTTCACTCTCTATGTTACATGTCCTGTACTAGCCACATCCAAATTCCAGCATTTTCCTGCACATGCCCACTTTAGGTTCTATGCTCTGAGCCTTTACTTATATTCTCTCTGATGAGAATATCCCTCTCCCCTTTTAAAGACATCATGCTTATCAATGGAAACTTTACTGATGAAGTAGTATAGACAGCACTGGCTTTGGAAATGGGGAAAAATCTTTGTGCTTTAGTTACCGCATTTACAAAAAATGGGGATGCTCATAGCTAGGGTCATTTTATGGTGTGAGATAATGTATGCCATGTCCAGGCCCATATTAGACATTTCACAAATGGTGGCCCTTTAAGTTCAGGGTCAACTTATTTACTCCCTACCCTTCAGCTGGTCTGACTGGCTCTACATCATGCTCCCATCACACTATTTTTTAAACCCTTATTTTCTCACTTATGCTTATGTTATCAGTTATGCTTATATTACCAACTTTATAGGAGCTCTAGTGACTCCAGGGAGCTCTGGTAGCATAGTGCCTAAGGCACTTGACTGCTAACCAGAAGGCAGGCGGTTCAACCCCACCAGCCACTCCTCTGAAGGAAGGTTGGGCAATCCTACTTCCATAGTGATACTGCCTCGGAAACCCAAGGAAGGGTCGCTATGAGTCGGGGCTGACTCGACGGCAAACAACAACAACAACAAAGTGACACCAGGGTTAAAGCATTGAGCTGCTAAACAAAAAGTCTTTGGTTTGAACCCACCAGCCACTCCATGTGAGAAAGATGAGGCAGTCTGCTTCTGTAAAGATTTATAGCCTTGCAAATCCTATGAGGCAGTTATGGTCTGTCCTATAGAGATGTTATGAGTCAGAATGGCAGTGGGTTTTGATTTACCAACTTCATATTGGCCCACCTGCTGCACAGGACTATAATGTTCTTTTGGGCAGGGACCACATCTAATTTCTATTATTCTTCTCATATGATCACCACCTAATACATAGGTTGGCACACGGGAGGGTGGGTGAAGAATTTGAGTGGGAAGTGACTGAAGTGACTTTCCACTGAAGTGACTGAAGAGGAAGGTAGAAAGTCCAGCTGCAACGACACCTCTACACACGACTCTAACATGTGCATGTGGTGTCATTATGATATCCTAGTGCTTTCTCTCAATTAAGATACTCTGTAGCATGTCATCATTTTTTTTTTTTTTCCAGATAAGGGGGCACATAATAAAGAGTTACTGAAATGAAGAAGAACAGCAGAAAGTGAACTGAGTGAAGCTACAGAAAATTCTGGGTTCTAGCCCAGATCTGCCACTCGGCAGATGTATGGCCCTGGGCAAGCCATTTAACTTGTCCAAGGCCCAGATTTCACATGTGTACAATGAAGATAATTATATTTGCCCTACTTTTGAGGGTTGGGTGAATCAAAAGGGGGCTATATTGCTTGCAAAAGAGCTTGGTGGCTCATCAATCACCAAGCCATCATAGTCAGGATGTACTGAGTGTTTAATATCTATAGTACCAGGCACATATTAAAGACTGCTAGCTGTATTAAACTGAAGAGTGAACTCTGTGGGTATGTGATAATTGGAAAGTAGCTCACTTTTATGATACATCGAAAACCATATGCACTTGTATGCTGTGTCTTTTATACAAAGATTAAAAATGTAGAGTCATGCCATAAAAGATTAAATCCTACTCACGATTGCAGCATAATTCTGACTCTGAGAGTATGTTAACAAGTCCACATTTGTACTTACCTCCCTGCGGAAAGAACTGAGAGTAAATCTCTTTGAAGGTTTCTTCATTAACAACACCACTGGGACATTCCTAGGGAAAGTGGCAGAGAAGCAAAATGAGCAAAGTGTTCACAAAACTGATTTTTTTGCACATTTTGAAGTAGAACTATCTACTGTGCAAAGTTGCACTAAGAAAGTTAACCATCCATTCATTATTACAAAGAGAAATAAACACACTGTAAACTCCTCATTGTTCCAGTTCTCATAGGTTGAAAAATACTCTTCTGTAATCATGTTTGTATATTTGCTCTGAAATATTTAAGAACATGCTGCTGATTTAAAGAAATCATATGCTTATTGTCAATGAGGTAAGGATTAATTATGTTGTTTCTCATGCAGTAAGGATATTGCAAGATGCTAATAACATGCTAAATCTTGGTTCATGTCCTCTGGAGATCTGCTGCATCCATACAATCTTAAGATCAAGGAAAGAATGAGGGGCTCCATTTGGGCCTAAGATGGCCCAAGAAGTTATAAACAGGGATAGTTACTAATTATCATTAAAAAGAATAGTGACTAAATTTCACTCTATGTTCATGAGTACACAATGACTTGGCATTATAACAAGTGACATTGATTAAGACAAGAGCCCAAGATTTTTTCAACTTTTGGAGAAGAGGGTCTAAAAAGAAATAAATCTGAGCTTAATGCATTCCCACCTGTGTCTAACAGGTGGAGTTACTCAAGACTAACTTACTCTGACCTGGGAAACTACACTATTAATGGACTATTCATCTGGTGGGGCCATAGGGCAAAGTCACCCTCATGAGAGTAGAGTTGGCATTTTCTCTAAAAGGTACTGAAACTCAAAATATCAGAAGTGATCTGTGTTGGTGTAGAATATGAAGACTAAGCAAGTAGATATTGGGAGTTCTGGTAGCATAGTGCCTAAGGCACGTAACTGCTAACCAGAAGGCTAGCGGTTCAAATCCACCAGCAACTCTTCAGAAGGAAGATGGAGCAATCTACTTCCGTAATGATACTCCCTTGGAAACCCAAGGAGGGGTTGCTATGAGTAGGGTCCGACTTGATGGCACATAACAACAACAACAACATTAGACTGAGAGGAGGAATATCTTTCCTCTGGTGGCATAGTGCCTAAGCCACTTGACTGCTAACCAGAGGCTGGTGGTTCAAACCCACCAGCCACTCCTGGGAAGGAAGAGTGTGCCATCTTCTTCCATAGAGATACAGCCTCAGAAACCCAAAGAGGGGTCGCTCTGTTGGATTTGACTCATTGGCAGTGAGTTTGTTTTTTTTCTGTTATTCTCTGGAAGGATTAAGACAGTCTGGTCAGGGATATGAGAGGTAGAGACTGCAGACGGGTGCAGACTGACACTCACCCAACAGTCAACATCAAGACACATGCAAGGCACTCACCGGACATTGCAGGGGGAGGAAGTGATAAGCTCAGTACAGTCCCTTTCAGCAACTTCTCTTGAACCAAACACCTAACCCACTGCCACTGAGTCAGTTCTGACTCACAGTAAGCCTATGTTATTAGGTGCTGTCGAGTGACTCCACCTCACAGAAACCCTATGTACAACAGAATGAAACACTGCCTGGGTCTGGCCCAGGCCCTCACAATCTCCGCTATGCCTGAACTCATAGTTGCAGTCACTGTGTCAATTCTTCTCGTTGAGGGTCTTCCTTTTTTCACTGACCCTCCACTTTACCAAGCATGATATCCTTCTCCAGGGGATGGTTCCTTCTGACAACATGACCAAAGTGGGTGAGATGAAGTGGCTGTTCTCGCTTCCAAGGAGCATTGTGGCTGCACTTCTTCCAGGACAGATTTGTTCTTCTTGCGGTCCATGGTACTTTCAGTATTCTTTAGCAACACCACAACTCAAAACCATCAATTCTTCTTTGGTCTTCCTTATTCATTTTCCAGTTTTCACATGTCTATGAGACAATTGAAAATACCATGGCTTGTGTTAGGCTCACCTTAGCTTTCAAAGAGATATTTTTGCTCTTCAGCACTTGAAGGAGGTCTTTTGCAGCAGATTTGCCCAGTGTAATACGTCATCTGATTTCTTAATTGCTGCTTCCATTGGTGTTGATTGTGGATCCAAGTAATATGAAATCTTTGACAACTTCAATCTTTTCTCCATTTATGGCAATGCTGCTTATTGGGTCAGTTGTGAAGATTTTCATTTTCTTTATGTTGAGGTGTAATCCACACTGCAGTATGGACTGTCATTGTTGTTATGTACCATCGACTCAGACCCAACTCATAGTGACCCCTCCTTGGGTTTCTGAGGCAGTATCACTACGGAAGTTGATTACCCCATCTTCCTTCCGAGGAGTGGCTGGTGGGTTTGAACTGCCAGCTTCTGGTTAACAGTCAAGTGCAGTATGGGTAGTGACCCTATAGGACAGAGTAAAGCTGCCACAGAGGGTTTCCAAGGCTATAACTCTTTACCGAAGCAGGCAGCCTCATCTTTATCCCATGGAATGGCTGGTGGGTTTGAACCACTGACCTTTTAGTTAGAATCTCAGGGCTTCAACCACAGCACCATCAGAGCTCCTTCTCATGAACAGTTCATTCTAACCGGAACTGCCTGTATTTCAATGGTCCCAGATGAACTGTGACCATGTGGAATCCCTCCAGGATTTTTCTAAGTTCACTGGGGGAGCTAGGAGTGTGCTAATTTCCTAAGAGGACTGCCTTTAAGCATGAATGTCCTGTTCATTTAAAATTTGACACTGTCCCTAGGATCTTCATCAACCATCTTTTGTGGTTTTTAAAGCTTCTCTTAGCCCTTAAGATTCTTGGCCCATCACTAATGAACTTAATTTTTTAATTCAACCTTTATTTATACCCATGAGTCAGATAAGCACTATAAAGTGCTTCACATGAATAATTTTCTATTTTCTTATTTGTTGGTTTGAAGGGCAGGTCCTCTGATACATAAACACAGTTTTGAATTGTAGACTTAATGTGAGTTTGCATTAACAGAGCTTGCCTAAGATTTCTTTTCTCCCATTTAATCATTAAAATGAGTCTATGACTTAGTTAGCCAACATATCTCTATCCACAGAAGTGGAACTAGAGATTTCTAGTGGTAAAAAGCCCTGTTACATAGCTAGCCAATAGAAGAGGTGAAAGGTGAACTTGTTTCTTTCCAAGACACCATATAGTTTCAGACTAGATGAGCCCTTTAGAAAGAATGATGACTCCAAAGACCTAAGGGGACTGGTAAACAAAAACAATTTTAAAAAAGCAAGCAAACAAACAATCAATAGCTGCAACTTCAAGAGGAAAGAAGATGGCACACATCTAGCTAATCATCCCCAAATTTTGGCTAAGTGACTATTTAGGCTCTATCAAGTTGGCAGCAACAGAAGCAATTTTAAGACAAATAAAGACTGTGTAGTTGGAGTGTCTCTTACATGGAAATTTTGATTTATTAGCTATTTAACTCAGAGCCATCTGCTTGGGGTAGTAAGAAGAGAGAAAATAGATGACTGTCATTGGGTAGCAAATTTTGTGCAAGGTTAGAGAAGGAAACATGCCTTGGAGTCAAAGTGATGCTGGCAACAGATGAAAAAGGGATATATGAACTCAACACACTCATCACCTGCCTTTGGGCTTGAGGTATGTTTGGTGGTGTATCTTGTAGTGTTAAGTGATATTTAGAAGCATAAATGCCTCAGATGTGTTCATTTTGTTTAATCACATGTCTTTGAGATGTAAAATCCTTTCTCTGCCACAGAAAACTCTTGGTCAAGTTTCAGAGTGATCCATCTCACCAGGTGAATTTGTCTTTATTCATCTGGTGTGTGGAGGTTAAAGCATTTTGCTGCTGACCCAAAGGTCTCGGTTTGAACCCACCAGCTGCCCCATGGGAGAAAGATAAGGCAGTCTGCTTCTGTGAAGATTGATAGCCTTGGAAGCCCTATGGGGCAATTCTATTCTGTCTTATAGGGCTGCTATGAGTTGGAATTGACTCAATGGCAGTAGTTTTCTTTTTTGGTTTTAAACTCACTGTCTTTGAGTCGGATCTGACTCATAGCAACCCCTCCTTGGGTTTCTGAGGCGGTATCCGTACAGAAGTAGATTGTCCAAACTTCCTTCCAAGGAGTGGCTGGTGGGTTCAAACTTCTAGTTAGCAGTCAAGTGCCTTAGGCACTCTGCTACCAGAGCTCCCTTTTTGGTTTTATCTCTCATTTATTACATAAATTTATACGTCCAGCAAAGATGCATTGCATGCCTGTTATAATAGAACTGTGCCGGGAACTGGGGCTGGAAGAATTAGCCTAGATCAGAAAAGAAGCAGTAAGCAAGACAAAATGCCATAAAATACTAGTTCAGAGAGTGGTAATCTTTTATTTATTCTGAAAAGTTCTTATGAGAACCCCATACATTTTATTAATTTTGGGAGATAAAAATGGAATATTTTCTATAGCACTGTAATGAATTAGAAAGTGGTGCAAATAGTATATTTTCAAACTTTTTCCTCACCTCTGTTATAGAGGGATTCTCTCTCAATTCACAGTGAATTAGATTAGGCTGTGTGTACACATAAACATTGTGGCTGAATGGGTTAGGTTAACTCTTGCTGTTGTAATAAATAGGCCTTCAAGTGCATAAAACATCCAAAGTGAAATAAGCATATTTCTTGCTTATGTCACGATCTTGGGTGGATAAGCAGGTTGGATGACAGTTCTCCTTAGAGTCACTGAGAGATCATGGCTCATGGAGGCTTCCACATCTTAATCGTGGGGCTTCTAAAGTCTCTGTACTTGTCACATCCAAAAACAGAACAATGTCATGGAGGAATTTGCATGGGAGTTTTTTTGAGCCAGGTCTGGCTGGGGTGCACATCCCTTGCACTCTCATTTTGTTAGCGAGAAATCACTTAGCCTGGCCATCCCAAACCACAAGAGAACTGGAGAATATAGACTAGCTGTGTGTCCAGGAAGAAGATTAGAACAGATTTGGTGAATAGTTAGCTATGTCTGGCCTGTGGCTTACATACAAGATTCTCCAAAGGTCTATGATCTGAAATAGTTCTCCCACTGATG